TTTTTTGTCATGCTCAGCAGTCATTAGCATCGTGCACTGAGGATTTTGATAACTCGTGTTCAGCTTTTAATAAAAACAGATTCTACATTCTACAATCAAAAAGGCATTTCCTGTAAGACTCTTCTCTGAACGCCGACTGCAACAGCCTCTCATCTAAAGGTTTGATCCTCCGGGAGGGTAGGTGGACAACGTGGGAATCATCTGATACTAAATGATCAAATTGGTGATCAGTTCTTCTACCTGACACATCTTTTGCTGATTTGACTGAATTATGTTTAACTGCTGGAAAACATTATATATCATATATATATATAATAATATATGGTCCAGGCAGTAGTGTAGTGTGATCAATCATTGGTCTCAGCTCTCAGTAAGCCGATGCAGGTGGAATGTGTCCGACTTGATGGCGCCGTTTTTATAGCCCTCCCCTGCGGTCACCTGCAGCTCACGTTAGACTATCAAGTTGGCGAAAGTCAGCTGCCGTCATCTTGAGAACACTTATCGTTTGCCTGAAGTTTTCCTCTTCGCCCATGGTCTGCTCCACTGGTCTCACATTAAATCATATTCCAGCATTAACCTCCACATCTCAGACCATCTTGCAATCATAATGGACTTTAATATCCCCATTCCCACCCCCAAAAGTGCAGCGCAAAATCTCATTCAGAAACCTCAAGCTCATCAATCCCTCGGCTCTCTCAGCTTCACTCACCGGTGCGATTTTTAATTCCTCCCTCACATCTGGATCAGTCCCTACAACACTCAAAGTTGCAACTGTCACCCCCATCCTCAAGAAACCTGGTCTCAACCCCGACATCATGTCCAAATCCTGGGACGTGTTGTGGCTGCTCAAATTCAAACCTACCTCACCTCTAACAACCAGTTCGAACCATTTCAATCTGGATTCCGCTCACAACACAGCACTGAAAATAACCAATGACCTCCTCCTCTCCGCGGACTCCGGTTGCCTCACCATCCTAATCATGCTCGACCTCACTGCAGCCTTCGACACCATCAACGCTCTGCTGGCTCCTCACCAACAGACAACAGTTCATCAACATCAACAACTGCACCTCCTCCACTGCTCCTTTGTCACCAGGTGTCCCCCAAGGTTCGGTGCTTGGTCCTCTCTTGTTCTACATCCTGCCACTCTGTAATATCATACGTAGATATGGTCTCCACTTCCACTGCTACGCCGATGACGTCCAGCTCTACATCTCCACCAAATCCATCACCACAGTTACCTCTGCAACTCTGACCAGCTGCCTCACCAACATACAAACCTGGGTGCAAACCAACTTCTTACAGCTGAATTACAATAAATCTGACATGATCACCAAATCAGTCTCAAAAAACAACAACTTTTGATCACCACATCAACCAAGTCACCAGGACTGCCTTCTTTCACCTCAAACATCGCCCGTCTCCGCCCATCACTCACCTTCTCTGCTGCTGAAACCCTGATCCACGCCTTCATTACATCCAGAACTGACTCCTGCAACAGCATCCTCTATGGTTCACCTGCCAAAGCCCTAAATAAACTTCAATATATCCAAAACTCCTCACCCACACAATCTTCACTGGTTCCCCAACGCATTCAGTACAAAATCCTTCTCCTCACGCATAAAGCCCTCCATAACAAGGCCCCTCCCTCCCTCACAGACCTGCCCCACCACCACAATCCCTCTCTAACCTCCTCTCGCCACAGATCAGGACCAAGCACCGTACCTGGGGCCACAGAGCTTCACCATCGCAGCCTCCTCCCTCTGGAACTCCTTACCCATACACATCCCAGATTGCAGCGACATGGACTCTTTCAAATCACTTATCAAAACCCAATTTTTAGACTAGCTTTTAACATCAAATAATGTTATAATGCACATGCTGCTGTTTCTTATGGTCACGATCCTGTCTGTGTGTCTTGTTGGGGAGTCTGGGTTTTGGTTCCATGTCTTTGTTCCTAGTCCTGTGCCTTAGTTCATGTCTTAGGATTTAATTCTAGTTCTTTGTCTGCATTATTTTAGTTTAGTCTGCTCTGTATTCTGTGTTCTCGTTTAGGTTCTGTCTGTTATGATCGCCGTGTTATAGTTGGTCGGTGTTTGTCTGTTTACATGGGTTTCTGTTATTGTCTGAAGTTAGATTCTTGTCTGGTATTTTGTAACGTGTTCTGCCTGCCTGTCTCTCTGTTTTCCCCCTGCTGTCTCTCTGCCTGCCTGTCTCGTTAGTCCTTTGTGTCAAATGTTTGCTGTTTCTGTTCAGTCTCTGTCCGGTCATTGCAGTCTATTTTACCTATTTTTGGGGCTCCTGTCCAGGGGCCCTTGGAATTGTCTTAACTTTCCTACCCCATACGGTGCCCCTGAATCTGATACCCCTATGGCAGAGGTCACTAATAGGCGGACCGCGGTCTGGATCCGGACCCAGCCGCCGTCCTCTCCGGACCGCCGACCTACAGCCCATTTATTATTGAGACTTACTACCTCGTGACGGAGCGTTTCTATTTTAACCCGCGCAGCTTTTCTAGCATTTACTGTACTGGTTTAGAGGACCAGGAAACTCACAGACCAATTGCATGTGCTCCAATCGTCTCATGTGACGCTGCTCAGCCAATCAAATCTGTGCATACCGATGCTTGCGAGTCGAGTCCGCGAGATTCACCAGAGACGTTTTGGAAACACACCCGAATTGAGGAGACGAAAGATAAAAGAGATTCCACATGACTTTTAATCAAGAATGTACAAATATTTACATGTACATTCCTCCCACGGGCAGTTCAAAACCAGAATATCTCATAGATCTGCAATATGCTAGCTGGAGCTCACGTTTCTCACTGAACAACAGAAAGTAGGAAAGTGGTAGCTCTGTAAGAGGAAATGAAAGAGAAGAGGAGGCATTACAGCTGTTCATTTGTTATGATGTGTTGAGTGTTTATTATAAAATTGGTTAAGACTACACTTCATCACTTCAAGCTACACTTTTTATTACATTTTTTCTAAAAATTAGGCACTTTAGTTTACTTAAATTTAGAATTTATTATTTGAATAGTTATTATTTATTATCCCTCCAGTTTGATGTGAAAACTGACTATATATATATATATATATATATATATTTGATTTGACAGTCCGTTGTTGACTAAAAACATGTGTTGATACAACTATAGTTTATAGTACTGAATGATAACGCAAGTTCGTCGTTTTGATGTTCCGGACCTTTGCTTCAGGAAATTTTCTCTAACTTTGAAATTGAATACCCCTGTCCTATGGCTTTAAGTATGGCCCTGCTTAACTCCTCTATTTCCACCAACGTATCTTGCTTTCCAGATAAATCTGTGGTTAGTTCTGGTACCAGTTTAGGAAGACTTTTAAATTTTGTTTCCGCGTGTACTTTACTGAAAAATCACTCATTCCAACCTGCACTATCTGATCCCACATTCTCTATCTGGCACAACAAAGGTCTCAAAACTTTCACAGATCTCTACAGGAACGGGACTTTTCGTAGCTTTGCAGATGTGTCGAGTGAATTTCAGCTTCCATCTTCAAGTTAGACACTGCGCAAAATCATTGTTTCCTACATTTCCCTCCTCACCCTCAAGTCAACTATGGGATGATTTTCTCTGTCCTGCAGCTCACCTACCATTAAAACCAAGGCTGCTTGGGAGGGCGAATTGAGGTTGACTCTGCAGGAAGCCTGGTGGGACGTTGCTCTTAACAAAATCCACACAAGCTCATCTTGTGCTCGTCTCTCTTTGATACACTAAGGTATTGTACAGGATTCATTTCTCCAAAGCACGTCTGTCACGGATCTATCCCACTGTCACTGATAGCTGTGATAAATGTCACGGCTCTCCCTGCAACCTAACCTACATGTTCTTCGCCTGCCCATGACTGTTTTCCTTCTGGCAAAACTATTTTGATCGCGTCTATTACCGTTAAACCCTCTCCCCATATTGCCATATTTGGTTATCTGGAGGATTATAACCGGTACAACTCAAACCAATTAGATATCTTGGCATTTGCTTCCTTATTAGCAAGACGCCGCCGTCTTTTCTATTGGAAATACACAAAGCCTCCCTCCAGCACTCCAGACAATTTTATTCTATTTTATTTTTCTTCTTCCTTTTTTCTGTTATTATTTATATTATTATTATTAGTCTTTTAATTAATTAATAATTTTTTTGTATTGAGTTTGTACAAATGTATGATTATGTGTTCTAATCTAATCTATACAAAAAACAAGAATGGCACCCATTTTGTTGACTCATTGAGACATATACGTAAAAACATTTCGCTTCTCTTTTTATAACTGGGGTTCTCATTGTATTGAAGTGTTTTTTCCTCCAATGTGCCAGTCTTTCAATAAAAATAATGAGGAAAAAAGAAAGAAAAAAAAAAAAGAAGTTGAACCTTTATCCTCTTGGGGTGCTGCTGTACCCGTATGGCAGAATTAAAGCAAATTTGCCAACAACAAAACAAACAAGAAAACTAAAAGTAGGAGGCCCGAGTAAGGAGGGCTTGGTAAGACTAGATTTATGAACACAGAGGGGCCCTTTGTGAGGAGGCTGCAGCTCTGAAGCTCACACAGCACATGAACATCAGTGCGCATGAGTTACAGTTTTTCTGGATTTCTTAAACACAATTCTTGAAAACTCTAAACACAAACCCATAACTTCTCACCATACGTCCTATTTTCAGGTCAAAATGAAGCTCTCTTCTTAAATCTCACTGAAAAACCAAACGTGGCCCTCAGAAACACACTCTGCAAACAAACTGGTTATAAGTTATGTTGCTGAAGTTCTTCTCTCAGAAACATGTTCACATGATGAACACAACAAACAAACAACATCTTATTATTCCTGCGTGTCCTGAACACAACACACAAACAATCATTCGGCCCCAGAGTCCTCTCTCCTCCTCCTGACTCACACAGTTCCACAGTACTCATGACTATGACGTATATCTTTAAAACAGGAACCAGCTGTGGTTTATATAGCAGCACTCTGCCGGTGTTGGAGATCAGATCAGAGCTCACACCTCTCCAGAGCAGAGCAGACTGAGCAGAGACACTGAACACTTATAGTTTGTCTTTTTAATCGACATCATTCCTCATCTGACCATGGAAAAGAGAACCAACAGGAGAGTACACGATGAACATGTTGTTAAAAGTCAGCACTTGAAGCTGATTGATTTGATAGAGAAAGCTCGGAGAAAAGGGTTGTCAAGCAAATACCTTTACAAAGAAAACATCCCGGCTTCCCCTCAACCAGAGTTTCATGTGTCTCATCTGAAACACGACACAAACCAAACTGGACTAAGAGGCATCAAGACTGATGAAGGCTTCAGGAACCCAGGCAGAGGCTCTCTGCTGTGGTGGAGTCTGGCTGTGGGACCTGATGAGATAGCGTCAGCTGAGAGGAGGCTCCTGGAGACGACCTTCCCGGACCGGACGGAGGAGCAGGTCCAGATGCAGCAGAGCTTCCTGGAGAAGTTTACCACCTCCCCGGCCTTCGAGCAGACCTCCAGACTGGGCTCGTACCGCTTCACCTTCCCCCTGGAGGAGGTGCTGAAGGCCTACAGACAGCAGGTACTGAGGGTCGGGTTATTTTCTGTCACAGCTGGTCTGTGATAAATAAAATTAAATAATGTAAAATAAAAATGAATGAGAATGAAAGATGAGACCTGATGTTCAAATATGGATATAACAGAAGACTTTTTTGTAGTTTAAGATTTTATTAATTTTCAGTCTACAATCATTTGACTCATAAATGTCTCATATTATCAATATTATACACTGAAACTTGCACACTAAAAAAGGGAGTGAAAACAAAAAAAGGAAACAGATCAGCACCTCAAATATTTCACAAATGTACCCACATTAACCCTTGAGACAGTTTCAGCTGCATCATATCAAAATCTTTGATTTCCCGTTTCAGTAGTTTAACCTGTTTAGTTTCACTATGATGTGTGCATAACACTGAATGAAGTGTTTCAATCAGTCAGAATGGCTCCACCTGCTGGGAAGCTACTGGTGTTGCATTTGTCTAGAACAGAAGAGTGTTGTACTGGAATGGTCACAAGAGTTTTGGCGTGAGCCCGCGAACACATCACGCTGCCTTCCTTCTATGTCGACTGTCTCCTGAACCTGCAGCTGCACAGCGTGTTAAAGTGACAGCAGATTATGTTAAAAAAGCCTCATCAAGAATTTATCAGCCCACAGAGAGAAAACTGCCGTCTTTGTCCTCAGGACGTTTACAGGACTGAGTTTTCCATTAAAACCTCTTTCACTGTCTCCAGTTTTGCAGCGGCGCTCAGCCCGTCATGCGGGTGTACGAGACCGTCCTGTACAAACAGGAAGTGATGTACGTTGTGCTGATCCACAGCCCAGCCAATCAGGAGCGGTTCTCTAAATATCCTTTGCTGACTGACGACCCAAACTCTGTCTGCACCTACAAAGACGGCTGCTTCATCTGGAGGCCTCAGGCCATGAGTGAGACACACAGGTAAGAACCAGAAACTCTGTGACACCTGAACTAACCACAGACACTCAACTCTCCCACATTTATTACAGACACTGAACTAACCGCAGATGCTGGTCTGTTTTGGTCAGGTATAAGTTTGTCTTGAGACAGGATGCGATGCAGATGGAAGCAGCAGAGGCAGAGCATCCTCAACAGTTTTATGTCTGGGATCATTTTGCCGTCGCCCTGCATGTGGATAAACAGGTACCCTCACTACTCATTGTTCTTCTCACCCTTTATTGACAGGCTGGATTGTTCTGGTGAAGGGTAGGGAAGTCCTAAAGCCGCCGAAATACTTGCTTAGACAGGCGTCTGCGATGCAAACGGCATTGTTCACATACTTGCCTGCGTACTTTGCGTGCACCTGGAGGATTAAACATGAGTCCACTAGGGGGCAGACCAGGACCTGATCATCCTCCTCAACAACCTTCAAATTTGCACATCGTAAACAAACCAAACATAGCGACACTGGAGTAGCTTGGGATTTTAAGACATCAGTACAATCTTGGTAATTATAAAAATAATAATAGTAAAATAATAAAATTAAATAAAATAAACTAGCTTTGGGAGTTTTACTGGAAACATCCCGCCATAAATCTCCTTTGTTCAGTCTGCTGCTGTCCTTCTTCTTTTGCTTTTAATGGCTGTTGGCAAACTGCATACCGCCACCACCTGTGCTACTGACCTGCCGGTCAGATCGACACACTGCCCCCACATTCATGTGCTGAACTGCATCTCGCAGACGTGTGGTGTTAATTTTTGACGTGGAACTCTGCTTCAGAGAAACTGCGCTTCAAAAGGAACTACACTTCACAGGAACTACACTTCACAGGAACTGCGCTTCAGAGAAACTGCGCTTCAAAAGGAACTACACTTCAGAGGAACTACACTTCAAAGGAACTGCGCTTCAAAAGGAACTACACTTCAGAGGAAATACACTTCAGAGGAACTGCGGTTCAAAAGGAATTACACTTCAGAGGAACTGCGGTTCAAAAGGAACTACACTTCAGAGGAACTGCGCTTCAAAAGGAACTACACTTCAGAGGAACTGCGCTTCAGAGGAACTACACTTCAAAGGAACTACACTTCAGAGGAACTGCGCTTCAAAGGAACTGCGCTTCAAAGGAACTACACTTCAGAGGAACTACGCTTCAGAGGAACTACGCTTCAAAGGAACTACGCTTCAAAAGGAACTACACTTCAAAAGGAACTACACTTCAAAAAGGAACTACGCTTCAAAAAGGAACTACGCTTCAAAAGGAACTACGCTTCAAAAGGAACTACACTTCAAAAGGAACTACACTTCAAAAGGAACTACACTTCAAAGGAACTACACTTCAAAGGAACTACGCTTCAGTGGAACTACACTTCAAAAGGAACTACACTTCAGAGGAACTACACTTCAAAGGAACTACACTTCAAAGGAACTACACTTCAAAGGAACTACGCTTCAGTGGAACTACGCTTCAAAGGAACTACGCTTCAGTGGAACTACGCTTCAAAGGAACTACGCTTCAGTGGAACTACAGTGGAACTACGCTTCAAAGGAACTACACTACAGTGGAACTACACTTCAAAGGAACTACGCTTCAAAAGGAACTACACTTCAAAGGAACTACGCTACAGTGGAACTACAGTGGAACTACGCTTCAAAGGAACTACGCTTCAAAGGAACTACGCTTCAAAGGAACTACGCTTCAAAGGAACTACGCTTCAAAGGAACTACGCTTCAAAGGAACTACACTTCAAAGGAACTACGCTACAGTGGAACTACGCTTCAAAGGAACTACGCTTCAAAGGAACTACACTTCAAAGGAACTACGCTACAGTGGAACTACAGTGGAACTACACTTCAAAGGAACTACGCTACAGTGGAACTACAGTGGAACTACGCTTCAGTGGAACTACGCTTCAAAGGAAATACGCTTCAGTGGAACTACAGTGGAACTACGCTTCAGTGGAACTACGCTACAGTGGAACTACAGTGGAACTACGCTTCAGTGGAACTACGCTTCAAAGGAACTACAGTGGAACTACGCTTCAGTGGAACTACAGTGGAACTACGCTTCAAGGGAACGCAGGATATGCGTGGCAGCCATCTTGCGTACACCAACGCGTAGTTAAAAGAATGTATGTCCAGGCCTTAAAAGGGGCCTGCAGCTTCTGGTTCTGACTCAGTCACATTTCAGTGCACAGGTTGCTTTTGTCTCTAAAGCTGAAGATACACGGAGCAACTTTAAGAGCAATGGTGCTGGGCAACGCTGCTGTCAGTGGTAATTAATAAAGATTACTACCGTAATCCACCCGCTCCGCACCACCGCTATCCGTTGAAAACATAGACTTACCTCCAGCAACATTGCTCAAAAAGTTCCCCCATGTATCATCAGCTTAAGTGTCGCTGTGAGGTGGAAACTACAACAGATCCATCCTGACACACGTGTTTGGTTTTATGTGTACATGATGTCTGTCAATTTATTTTTGGTAAATTAAATAAAATTGTACTCACACAAATGCACACAAAAAAGAGAAATAAGTTGAAATAATGGAGTACATGTTACTGCAGTACAGAAGTAGATACTCATTCATCTTAGCATATCAATTCTGCTGTATTTACTGTTCCCTAACAATAACAGTAATGTGAGTTGCACCTAGCATGGGTGCTAACTAGGGGTGTGATGACACTCTTAAATCCACGAGACAATGTCAATCAGCTGGGCAGAGTTGATTGGCTCCGTGGGTTTATCTTGTGTGAAAAATTTAATTTGCATGAGTCTCATTAGACAGCTTTTTACCTGACGAGAAATATCGTCACACTTTAATCTTGCAAGATCTCATCACACCCCTGCTGCTAACAGTCCAGTCCTGCACCCTCACAGCTTCTCACAGACCCTGCAGCTGTTCTGCTCGTCATCTTCTTATGTTCTTTTACTTTTTCCAGGTGCTGAACTTTGGCGCTGACCGGCTGAGAGAGAACCTCATGTGGTGTGATAAAGGAAATGTTCAAATCGCTGATAAAGGAAAGCCAATCTATCAAGAAAACATCACTTTTAATGATTTCCCAGAAGCTGAAGAGTTTGTTAAAACATTGTGGCCCGACAATCCCTCTCCGCTGAAGAAACCTTTACAGCTAAATTAAGGGCGGCTGTAGTAGTTTTATTGTTAGAAGATCATCCACCAATGTGAGCAAGACACTTAACCCGTTGCTGCTCCAGAGGTGTGCGAACTCTGACATACATATCCATTGTAAGTCCATTTGGATAAAAGCGTCAGCTTAATAAAAAAATGTAATGTAATGTCGTCCTATAATTAGGGTATATTTCATGATTATTGTTAATTAAAGTTTTTCTTTTTTCTTCAAAAAAAGATAATATTTTAGGGAAAATCATATTATAGAATCAGAGCATTGGCCTCAAAAAGTTGAAATGATCTGTTTATTTATTTAGGTTAAAAAACTCTGTTCCAGATTTTAAAAAAATATCTTAGTTTATTAATGTCCTCCTGTATAACAGAGGGACACAAGAAGGATCTCGCTCAATTTTTATATTTTTTAATAGCTATTTTTGAGGAGAAGTTTTTTTGTCATGCTCAGCTGTCATTAGGGTCGTGCACTGAGGATTTTGATAACTGGTGTTCAGCTTTAAATAAAAACAGATTGTACATTCTACAATCGAAAAGACAGTTCCTGTAAGACTCTTCTCTGAACACAAAGGTTTGAACCTCTGGGAGGAGGGGTGGACAATTTGGGAATCATATGATACTACATGATCAAATTGGTGATCTGAAGTCTATACTATATGATCTGTTGCTGATATAACTAAATTCTGTTTACTTGCTGGAAAATATTAATGAATGGTATTTGATCTGCTATCTTTTCTAATTCAGTCAGGACAACTTTCTTCAAAGAACTGATATTTGCGCCATTGTAGTTATGTTTGGGGAGGTATGGCTCTGTTCTGGGTTCTCCCTGCCCTTCCACGTGAGAGCACCTCCCTGCCCATCCATGTGCCTACATGGAAAGCCCAGACAGAGACTAGCAGTAAAGAACCCGTACAGAACAGAGCAGGCATATGCCGAATTACATGATTAATCAGATACTAGATGGGCACTGAAATGTGGTATTAAACAGGCTGAAGACCGTGTTGTTTATTATCAGGCTGCTGCCTCTGCTGCTCTGTGTCGCCTCTTGCACACGAACACACACATGCAAGTGAAGTTAGCTCCAAACTACTCGAGATGATGACAGCTACCCTCGTTACTGTGGTACGTGCAATAAAACCTCACCAGTAAAAGACAATGCATCAGTTTAACAAGCATTACATGTAGAAGGTGTTATTTAATCTGCTCTGTCCACGTCTCTTCATCCTAAAGCTAGTTTGGCAGTTAGCTAAATGTACAACGAGCTAAATTAAAAGCTGTCTGTAATTTAACTGTTTAGCTTAGATTGCCATGTAGCTTCAAATTGGCACATAGTTACCTGTGGTGATCACAGCAGAGAGAGATGGAAGGAATTTGCCAACGAATGCTAAGAGAGGAATCAGCTGAGCTGTCAGCTGAAGTAGCTGGTTTAAGATGGCTGCTATCAGCTGATGTGCTGGGATTGTGAGCTGAGCTTGACTTCGTTGCCTGCCTGAACCAACACTATGCTTGATATATCTGATTTGATTCATTACTAACACTAGGCTACTGAAGAATATTGGGATTGTTGTAAATGACTGTTGGATAAACATTTAATCACAGCATTTCACATTCAGTTATATTTAAGGTTTTGATATAAGTATTTATTTGAATTCCATAAGGATTTGGATCATATTGAATCTGTTGTTTGCTTTTACCTTAATTGTGTGCAGAGAGCAGAGAAAACCACTTTATATAGCCTTCAGTGACCTCACAAAAGCTTTCGACCCTGTGAGCAGGGGTAGCCTCTTCCAGATGGTTGCCCGGATAGGGAGCCCACCAAAACGTCTCCACATTCTCCAATCGTTCCACATCGACATGCCAGGTACCATCCAGTTTGATGGTTCCACCTCTGACCACTTCAAAATCTGTTGTGGTGTTAAGCAGGGGTGTGTGTTGGCACCCACCTTGTTTGGGATATTCGTTTCCCTTCTTCTGCGGCATGCTTTCGGAACATCAACTGAGGGGGTCTATCTGCACACTACAACTGCCGGCAAACTATTCGACCTCGCTCGATTGAAAGCTAAAACAAAGGTCAGACCACTCATCATCCAGGAAGCAGTGGTAGCACACTCCCAAGAGCAACTAAAAACCCTCATGGATCAGTTCATGATCGGTATGTCAGGACTTCAGCCTGACCATCAGTCTGAACAAAAGCAAGACAACTACTCACTGGAAGCTGGAAGAACTTTCACTTTCCACCATTACCGGCAACCTGTTACTCAACGCTGAACTAAGCAGCCGCATCGGAAAAGCAGCCTTTACTTTTGGGAAGCTCACAGCAAGGGTATGGGAAAATGGTTAACTCACAGCCCACATGAAGGTACAGGTGTATAGAGCTTGCGTCATCAGCACACTCCTGTATGGCAGTGAAACTTGGACCCCATATTGACATCAAGAGCGGAGGCTAAACAACTTCCCCTGCACTGCTTAAGGCGCATAATAGGCATCGCCTGGAAGGACAGGATCACATACACTGCAGTCCTGGAGAGAGTTCAGCTTCCCAGTATGTACTCTCTCCTGAGACAGCGGCATCTCTGCTGGCTGGGTCATGTTCGGCGGATGGACCAATCCCTGAGGACATTCTCTATGCGCAGTTGTCATCTGGCGAGAGAACAATTGGCCGCCCACAGCTACGCTTCAAGGATGTCTGCAAGTACGATCTTAAGTCCTTCAACATTAACCCTACCAACTGGAAAGATGCAGCCCAGGACCATCTTGAATGGCAGCATTCATTGCACAGTGTGCTGCTGACATACAAAACCACCTTGCTCATGATCGAGAAGCAAAGACAACTACAGGACACCATCAACAGCATCGAGACCGGCCTACACATGTCAAAGTCAAAGTCAAATTTATTTATAAAGCACATTTAAAACAACTTCTGCTGACCAAAGTGCTGTACACACGGAATAAATTAATCAGAATAAAATAACAAGATAATAAAATACAATAGAAATATAGAACATTAAAAAAGTGGAACGGCCAATGTAACCTGCTTATTCTGTGTTGAAAGCTAAAGAGAACAGGTGTGTTTTCAGCCTGCTTTTAAATTGATCTACAGATTGTGCAGATCTAACATGAAGGGGTAGGCTTTTCCACAGCCGTGGTCCTGCCACTGAAAAGGCTCTGTCCCCTGGTGGTGAGCCTGCTTTTAGGGACACTCAAAAGGAGCTGGTCTGCTGACCTTAGTGCTCTGGCAGGAGCATGTCAGAAAGCTAAGGTGGCGCAGTATCAGTCAAACATTTAAAAACTATTAATAAAATCTTAAAATGCACTCTAAAAGACACAGGGAGCCAGTGTAATGAGGCCAGCACGGGGGTGATGTGCTCCTTTTTTCTTTTTCCTGTCAGAAGCCGGGCAGCCGCATTTTGTAGCCCCTGGAGGCGGCGAAGAGAGCGCCGTTCCAAGTCCGCAGTACAGCGAATTACAGTAGTCCAGCCGCGATGTGACAAAGGCATGGACTGCTCTCTCCAGGTCTTTCTTAGGGAGAGAGGGCTTGATTTTACTCAGTAGTCTTAAATGATAAAAGCTGCTTTTCAGCACTGCACTGACCTGCTTGTCAAACTTAAAACCACAGTCAAGAAGCACTCCTAGATTTTTTGTGCTTGGGCGAGAAAATGAAGCTAATGGGCCAATGGCACTGTCCCAGCCCTTCAGACAGTCTGTTTGCCCAATTTCAGTTTTGCTTTTATTCAGGCTTAAAGAGTCCATCCAGGACACAACCTCCTTAAGACAATCCTGTAGAGTTTTGATTGCAGAAAAGTAATTTGTGCTCAGTGGGAGGTAGACTTGTATATCATCTGCAAAACAATGAAATGCCACATTGTGCTTCTTAAAAATGGACCCGAGCGGAAGCATATACAGTGCGAATAAAACAGGGCTTAAAATTGCACCCTGAGGCAGGCCGAAATTTAGTGGCATTATTGAAGAGTGTCGAATGCCGCTGTTAAAAAGCAACAGAACAGCAGATTTGCCTGAATCAGCAGCTAAAAACAAATCATTTAAAACTTTTAAGAGGGCTGTTTCTGTGCTATGCCGGGATTTAAAACCAGATTGGAATATTTCAGTGATTCCATTCTCATCAAGATGAGACTGTAGTTGGTCATATACAACTTTCTCCACAACCTTAGACAGGAACGGGAGTTTAGAAATAGGTCTAAAATTTGATAACACTGTGGGATCAAGGTTAGTTTTTTTCAAAAGGGGCTGGGCCAGGAAGCAGCCAGACAACAGTGAAGAATTATTAAAATCCAAAATGAGAGGTCCAAATGTCAGAAATACCTCTTTAAGGAAGCGTGGCGGGATAGTGTCAAGTGGACAGTTTGAGGACCTCAGCTGCTGTACAACTTTAGTTAAAAAAGATAGAGACACTGTCTCAAAGTGATCAAACACAACAGCACATGTAGAGAGTATCTGAGGCTCAGAGACACAGAGTGAGAGAGGACCTGACAGCACACACCTTCTCATTAAAGAACAAAAGAAATTTGTCACATGATTCAGTTGATGATTCAATGTCAGCGCAATTACAAGGGTTTAAGAGAGAGTTTAACATTTTAAAAAGAAACTGCGGCTTCTGGCTGTTACTGGAAACAAGATTGGATAAAAACTGAGTTTTTGCCGCTTTAACAGCTTTCTGGTGTTCTAGACTATTTCTCAATATTTCGTAGGACACTTGCAGACGGTCCTTTTTCCATTTCCTCTCAGCGTGTCTACACGCACGTCTGAGTGCGCGCGTGGTGTCATTCAGCCACGGGTCAGATGCTGCTTTAGGCTTTTTACTTCTCAGTCGAGCTATTATATCCAGCAGATCCGAACACGTCGAGTTAAAAACACTAATCCATTGATCAACATTTAGATCGTCAAGGTGACTGATGTGAAGCAGTGAGTCATTAAAAGCATGTGAAAAGCGTGAGGCAGTCTGGCTGTTCAGCGTGCGCACCCGGCGCGCTGGGGCGCACGGTTTGTGCAAAGAGCCAGGCAATGTAACAGAGAACAGCACTGCAAAGTGATCCGAAATGCCAGTGTTGCAGATTTCCTGTTTGTTACCATTTAATCCAAATGACAGCACGATATCCCAATGTATGTCCCTTCTCGTGTGAGGCCCCAGCCAGATTAAGAAAGTCCTTAGCCAACTGGTTGGATTCACAGCACACATGGACAATCATATCCCCGGATATTAAAAAGTGATCATAGTTAAGAGTTAGTTCTGCAACAAAGTCTATAAAATCCTGAATGAAAAGTCTTATTAAATTTTGGAGGGCGATAAACTAATAAAGCGCACAGGACTGGAGCGTCGGCATTTAGAACAAATGTCTGTAGTTCAAAGCTCGAAAATGAGTTTGTTTGTACTTATCGACATTTAAAACTAGATTTGAAAACAGATGCTAGCCCTCCACCTCTGCCGGTGCTACGTGGGGAGTTTAGAAACCTACAATCCGGGGGTACGGAGTGCACTCACCGACGTGAAGCCAGGTTTCACACAGAAGAAATAAATCCAGCTGGCGTGATGTGAAGAAGTCGTTGAGGATGAACGTCTTGTTAGTTAGCGATCTAGCATTGAGGAGGCCAAAGCGGAGAGTCTGCTCCTCGTGGCCCGGTGCAGAGCAGCGCTTCAGCTCCAGGAGGCATCCTGGATCCACTCCGCGGCTGCGCTCGCGGCGCCTTGTACACATAATATCTGCGGTAGAGTCTGCTTCTCACGGATTGGTCTCCACCCTGGCACTGACCCCTCAGGCCCAAGAACTCTATAGTCTTTTGAGACTGCCATGCCAAAGATGAGGATGATGATGAATTGCTTACTAGAGGTGTTAATATGTGGTTGATTTATTGCTATTGTTTGGATTTGGTTAAATTGAACATATATAGGAGACCTGAAACTGCCTAATTAAACCGTACGGGGCTCTTGCACCATGTGTTCTCCCTCAGGCAGCCTCTCTCAGGCCAACACCAGATTCCCCTGCAAACTGCAGCACACGCACACTAAGACATTTGGGCCTGAAAGAAGTAATACTAACATATAAAACTAAGCTGCTTATCGCCACTTCACTTATGTTTCGTAAGCAGGCTCTAACATCTGCATTTATATTGTAGAATCCAGGAACCACGACAGTTGATGTGATGCTTCTGGGGAACGCTGTTCACTGATGATAATGGATCAGTCGCCATAGATCAGTATATTTTGTCATAGTTGAGGCCGATACACCCCCCTTTATTAGGTATACGATTAAATGAAAACAGGTCTGCAAAAAAATCTAAATTTCTGAGGATTATAATGTTTAGGTATTTGTTGACAGTGTAATTACTAAAATCATAGTGATTAAATTTTGTGTGAGCCCTTCACCAGCTGCTGGGCAATGTTGTATTCACACTGTACAAAAGCTACACCCTCTCATTCCAGTCACATGTCAAACTCATTACCAAATCTGCCTTCTACCACCTCAAGAACATCTCCAGACTTTGACCATCACTCTCAGACTCACCTCCTGCTTGCGCTACTGCAATGGCGCCCTGTACACCCCTACGCCCACGGACAAGAGCTCGCTCTCTGTCCCCCACACCAGACTGCAGACTGCAGCCCCAACCCTCTGGAACTCCATCCCTACAGAGATCTGCATTGCTTCCTCTTTGGACACTCGTGTGGCCTCACCGTCCCCCTGGAGGAGGTGCTGGAGGCCCCCAGACCTGATGTTGAAATATGGAGATAACAGAAGACTTTATTAGTAATTTAAGATTTTTCTACTTTCATTTGACTCATAAATGTCTCATGTTATCAATATTATACATGAAAACTTTTCCAGACACGCACACTCGAAAAGGGAGCGAAAACAAAAACAAAGCAAACAGAAATCTAAAAGATTTTACAAATGCACCCACATTAACCCATGAGACAGTTTCAGCTGCATCATATCAAGCCTTTGATTTCCCAAAAACCTTTAATTCAGTTTGCCCGACGTGAGGAAATGATCTCAGATTCGTCATGGCTTCCTTTGACCTAAGTATTTAAATGAAGCTGTTTCCTAAGTATTTAAATGAAGCTGTTTCAAGTTTAACCCGTTCGGCGATTTCACATGTTTTTGTGTTTTCCCAGTTTCGCATAAAGAGTCTTGCTGCCATAATGAAACCTATCAGACTTAATCCAGACTGTAGAACCGTTGTGCCATTTGCCTTCTTACGTTTGCAACACGTTCTGTCTTGTGTCAGGCCCATCCTAAATAACTTCATAGGCATGTAATCAGTGTATTGTGTTGTAATTAGTCAATTTACAACATCTCTTGTGGCCCAGCTGGATATTTTATCATGTCCTAAGTCCGAGAGAAAACTGCCGTCTTTGTCCTCAGGACGTTTAGAGGACTGAGTTTTCCATTAAAACCTCTTTTACTGTCTCCAGTTTTGCTGCTGTACAAACAGGAAGTGATGTACGTTGTGCTGGTCCACAGCCCAGCCAATCAGGGCCTGAGGCCATGAGTGAGACACACAGGTAAGAACCAGAAACTCTGTGACGCCTGAACTAACCACAGACACCCGTCTGTTCCTGCTTTTCTATTTTTGGCAGCTATGAGTTGGTCGTGAGACGTGATGATGCAGGTGGGCGCGGCGCGATGATGTTTTGTTCTTATGTTTGGGATAACGTTGCTGTCGCCCCCGGAATGTGGATAAACAGGTACCATCACCTATCTACAGAAGTAGATTCATCTCAGAATATAGTCCTGAATTCTACTGTAGTAAACTTTTATCTAACAATAATTAGGACCAAAATGTTCCAGTTAACTTTCATGAAGTGAAAAACTGTGAATTATTCTGTTGATAAACGTCATACTGCAGCCTAGACTGTAAACACAAGTGAAATTCACAGGCTGGTACACACTGCTGCAGACACCTCAGACGCAAAACATGACAAATGTCAACCTATAATTAAGGTTAAAGCATTTTGGCCCAAACTACAGAAAACATCACCAGACTGCTCTACATATAATAATAAGGCTCCTCACACCCAGATGTTTAGTTATTTTTGTTTCACAGTTTGCAGTACTGGTAGGCAGAAAGGAGCTGTGGGCCCGGTTGGTTCGGAGGGTTGGCGCCCTGTACCGTCTGCCTGAATGTGACAGCTCGTACTCGCTAAATAGGGAATGTGATCTCTAATAATCACCTGCCCTTTCTTAACCAATTGGGGCTCACACTATTATTCACTGACAATGTAAAATACCAGGGAATGGAACAAAAAGTTAATAAACTCGCCACACCAAACTGTCTCAGTTTACACATAAAATATAGACCTTGCAGACCTTTCTTATGGATAACATCAGTGTTAGAATTCCATAACAGTTTAGCATCTATTACTGTTCCTGTAGTATTTGTAATCGGCTACCATTTCAATATCCACACTTTCCCTGAACTGAGCTGCATCTCATGAAATAGGTCACACCCATTTATAAGATAAGATAGAACGTTATTAATCCCCCGTAGGGGAAATTTCCACCTGTTTTCCGCAATTTTTTTTAGCGTGAAACCTACTTTTTTCAAACTCTTTTTAGACGATGAGTCTGATCTGCACAAAACGTTTCGAGTAGAATCTATGGACCCTCATGATTAAAAGTTATTAAAACAATGTGATAATCTAAAAAATGCACAAGTTATAAAGGAACACCTTCCTGTAGTTAACGGGCATCTCCGCATTGCTCTGTCCAATTAACACAAAACTTAGGCTAGTAAGTTCCCATGCCCCTCCGAGGCTTTATGCAAAATCTGGCACCAATTGGCCACTAGGTGGCCTTACAAATGAAGTGATCTCATATCTCCACATCACAGAATGTGTTTTAATCTGAACCAGCGTCAAATGCTTTGCAGTCAATGTGTTCAAATTTACTTTCACTTCCCGTTTCCTGAGAAGAGAAAGGAACAGATAAAGATTTAAAAGAAAAGGATGGAAAGGAAAGAAAAGGGCCTGTTCATTCCCGTCTCCTTACTCACACGTTGACTCACACAGTTTACTCATGACTGTGACGTTACTGGATGTGGTTTATATAGCAGCACTCTGCCGGTGTTGGAGATCAGATCAGAGCTCACACCTCTCCAGAGCAGAGCAGAGACGCTGAACACTTATAGTTTGTCTTTTTAATCGACATCATTCCTCACTTGACCATGTACACCCGATACAACAGGAGAGGATATCCTGAAAATGTTGTTGACAGTCAGCACTTGAAGCTGGATGATTTGAAAGAGGAAGCTCTGGAAATAAGGCTGACAAACCAGTACCTTTACAAAGAAAACATCCCGGCTTCCCCTCGACCAGAGTTTCATGTGTCTCATCTGAAACACGACACAAACAGAGATGGACTAAGAGGCATCAAGACTGATGAAGGCTTCAGGAACCCGGTCAGAGGCTCTCTGCTGTGGTGGAGTCTGGCTGTGGGACCTGATGAGATAGCGTCAGCTGAGAGGAGGCTCCTGGAGACGACCTTCCCGGACCGGACGGAGGAGCAGGTCCAGAAGCAGCAGAGCTTCCTGGAGAAGTTTACCACCTCCCCGGCCTTCGAGCAGACCTCCAGGCTGGGCTCGTACCGCCTCACCTTCCCCCTGGAGGAGGTGCTGAAGGCCTACAGCGAGCAGGTACTGAGGGTCGGGTTATTTTCTGTCACAGCTGGTCTAGGATAAATATAATAGTGTAAAAATAAAAATCAAAGGTCAGAAGAGGAGACGTGATGTTGTTCAAATATGGAGATAACTGAGCACCATTGTAACTTTTGCAGACATGCACATCTGATAAGGGACCAACACAAGCCTTTGACTTTCCCACAAACTTTGAATGAAGTGAGCCCTTAAAGCACAGGAGGAAATGATCCCGGACTTATTAAAACCTGTCAGTATTATTCCAGACTGTGGTTTGGTGACACCTTGTGGTAAAAGTGTTTCATCACCAAGCAGACATAACTTCAGGGAGTCTGGTAAGGGCTGTTTATTCACGTATCCCCAGCACAGACTTCCAAAAGGGAAGAACCGCGGAGCCTTCCCACACAGCATTAAGTACACCTTCTTATGTTTCCAACATGTTCTGTCTTGTATCAGGTCCATCCTTAATAACTTCAGAGAGCTGTAACAGTGTCTGTGTATTGTATTGTAATGAGTAAATTTACTTCTAACATCTCTTGTGGCCCAGCTGGATATTATAATGTCCTAAGTCCCTTTGCAGATTTATAATGTTCCTGTTGAACAATGAGTTGCGGTGCGTTATGCGCAGTAAATCAGAGAGCGTCTGTATCATATTATCAGGTTCTTCTAAACTCCTGTTAAGTTTGAACACACTCCCTAAACTGCTCCTTTAATGGAGGAGTTTCCTGAATTCGGGGTCGGACGCAACCTGAAGCTATTCAATCGGAGTACACAGCAGCTGCTCTGTCTCTTCACTGTGTCTGATGAGGAACAAAGCTTCTGAAGCACTGAATCAGTGTGAAGCAACTGTTTGATCCAGTCAAAATTGTGCCACCTGCTGGGCAGCTCCTGGTGTTGAATTTCTCTAGAACAGTCAGAATAGTTTTCTTATTCAATCAATCAACATTTATTTCTATAGCACTTTACAACAACTGTTAGGTATCCAAAGTGCTTCACATCATAGAATATAATAAAACAGCATATCATACAATAGATACATATAACAAAAAAAGAAAAGAAAAGTTAAAAAGAAACAAGAAAAAGGAAATTGTCACACCACTACTGCGTATTAAAAGCCATTCTAAACAGGAGGGTTTTAAGTTTAGACCTAAAAATAGTAATTGTGCGAATATCAGGGGGTAGCTTGTTCCAGAGTCTCGGAGCAGCAACTGCAAACGCCTGATCACCCCATCACTTATACTTCGACCTTGGGACCTCTAAAACCAATTGGTTTGAAGACCGTAACGACCGGCTGTGCTCACGCAGGGTTAAAATCTCAGTTAAGTACTCCGGGGCCAGGCCATTTAGGGCCTTAAAAACAAACAGCAAAATCTTTAAATTTATTCTTTACTGCACTGGGAGCCAATGTAAAGTGTAGAGGACGGGAGTGATGTGAGCACGCCTAGATGTATTTGTTAAAAACCGAGCAACAAAATTTTGCACAAGTTGAAGTCGTGAGATGAAGCTTTGATTTAAACCAACATAAAGAGCGTTACAATAATCCAACCTCGAACTAATAAAGACATGAATCACTTTTTCTAGGTCATGCCTGTTAAGAAAAGGCTTAACTTTAGATAGAAGACGAAGCTGGAAAAAAATCATTTTGACAACATTACTGATATGCATGTCAAATTTCATGTTGCAATCAAAAGTAACCCCCAAATTTCTGACAGCAGGCTTAAGGTATGGAGCCAGAGCCCCCAAATTCACAGCTGAACCATTTGGGTTATCGAAGATGATGCACTCTGTGACAACCACAACTTAATATCATTAATACAACTAAGTAGGGAGTCTAGTGCGACACTAACATTCGGTTTTAAAGTCAAATAAATCTGCAAATCATTGCCATAACAGTGAAAGGACAGGTTGTGCTTTCCTATAATACTCCCTAACGGCAACATATATAAAGAAAACAAGATTGGGCCAAGAATTGAACCCTGGGGTACCCCACAAGAAAGAGGAGCAGCTGACGAAGAGCATTCACCAATCATAACAGAGAAGCTCCTATTTGCTAAATAGGAGCTAAACCTTTGAAGAGCCAAACCACGAATGCTTACATCACGCTCAAGGTGAGAGAGGAGAACTGCATGGTCCACCGTATTAAACGCCGCCGTGAGGTCCAAAAGCACTAAAACAGAAAGATTCCCGGCATCCACGGACAAGGCAATGTCATTGAGTACTCTGAGCAGCGCAGACTCAGTACTGTGACGTGATCTAAAACCAGATTGAAATTTTTCAAGCACAGAATCTTTCTGCATAAAGGCTTGTAGCTGTATAAAAACAACTTTTTCCAAGACTTTTGACAGAAAAGGCAGATGAGTAAATGGTCTAAAATTAGATAACACTGAAGGATCAAGATTTGGTTTCTTAAATAGGGGCCTGACCACAGCATGTTTAAAAGCAGCTGGGACACAACCTAGACTAAGACAAGAATTAATTAACGTGAGTAGACTCTACCCAATGGCGCTATTAAAAACTTCCTTCACTATCCTGAAGGTACTAGCAGTTGCCATGAACCTAGAGTTTTATTTAATACCATTAATACCATCTTCGACACCTTTACAGCCTTCTGGTATGCGGCTAGGCTGTCCCTTAATAGACACAGTGATGTAAATAATCTGTCCTTCTTCCACCTTCGTTCGGCTTGTCTACAATGTTGTAAGAGGGCCCTTGTGGCGTCATTTAACCAGGGATCCACCTTAGGTTTAATAGCTTTAGTCCGAAAAGGGGCAATAGAGTCTAAAATTTCAGTGCTTGTGGAATGAAACACAGAGAGAACATTATCTGGGGAAAAAGGAGAGACCAGACCATTCATAGCATAAAACTGTGAGCCCATAAACGCAGAAGCAAACTCTACACCTAAAAAGGGTATGATGCAGCGGCGCCTAGAGGCTGAGGAGACACTGATCTCAAATCTAATAGGGAAGTGATCTGAGATACCGGATTCTGTTATTTCCTCAAGTAAAACTGAGGTGTGAGATATAGAGATCCAAAGTGTGGCCGAGATGATGCCCTTCCACACATTGATTTAGGCCAAAAGAGTTTAAAAGAGTATTAAAATCATGAGCGAGTGGGTTTGAAGGACAACACATATGGATATTGAAGTCCCCACAAACCAAAAGCTTGTCATATTTAGGAACAACATCAGCTAAAAACTCGTGTATAAAATCTTTGTTTAGCTTTGGTGGGCGGTGAATAACTGCACACAGTACAGGTGAATCTAGATTAGCCACAAACAGCTGAAGTTCAAAACTATAATAAACAAGTGCAGGTAGTAGCCTGCAACTGTGCTCGTCTTTGATGAGCGTGGCCAGCCCACCGCCTCTACCTGACAGTTGTGGGGAGTTGTAGAAAGAACAGCCGGGGGGGGAGGAGCTCCGAAAAGGCGCTGTCATCACCTGGTTTCAGCCATGTTTGCGTCAACAACTAAAGGTCCAGAGCATTTGTCATAAAAAGGTCATTCAATATAAACGTCTTATTTGTAAATGATCTAGTTGATCAGCGCCATCTGAATAGAGCGTCTTTCAGTCCATTGGGAAGCACGACCAAGCGGGCGGAGATTCCCAAGCACGCAGCCTCGCTTGAGGCGCTCCCTGTTCCAGTAGCGGGGAAATGGACTCTCGAAGCCCGGTACAGTCGACCGGAGCCACCGATAACTGCATGCCACAGAACGCAGACCACAGCCGACGAACCCAGCCGAAAACCCACCACAAGGATGACCCCGATCACAGGCAGAGGATGATGTCAGGTTCACTCTGAGCCTGACACGTATTCCGCCTCTCCTACCGCGTCTCCTGCGGCTATTTCTCTGGAGTGGCAGGCAAGGTTGACGCCATAGATAGGCAGGTATGGACGTAAGGAAAGGAGGTGGCGTACCTGTCAACTGACCGACCGAGTCGTAGATCGGCACTTTCTCCACAGAATTACGTATACTTAACAAAGTCAGGCGGTCATACACCAGTAGCGGCGACACATTTCGAGTGACAAACAGTAGAAACAGGCAAGTCAACAATAATCCCAGCAAAGATAAACACACAGCGGCGCCATCTTGATCCTTGCTTTCTTTATTGTTGTTTTGTTCAATACAGTTTGTTTTATTAGAACTGAGTCTACATCTCTGTTTTGTAAGACTTTAGTAAACTAAGATGTTTAAACCAGCAGGACGGCTCTCTGATACGTAACGAGGCGTCGTTGTGGGATGGTCACGTGAGTTCTGGCGTGAGCCTGCGAAAACATCACCCTGCCTTCCTTCTATGTCGACTGTCTCCTGAACCTGCAGCTGCACAGCGTGTTAAAGTGACAGCAGATTATGTTAAAAATGCCTCATCAAGAATTTATCAGCCCACAGAGAGAAAACTGCCGTCTTTGTTCTCAGCACGTTTACAGGACTGAGTTTTCCATTAAAACCTCTTTTACTGTCTCCAGTTTTGCAGCGGCGCTCAGCCCGTCATGCGGGTGTACGAGACCGTCCTGTACAAAAAGGAAGTGATGTACGTTGTGCTGGTCCACAGCCCAGCCAATCAGGAGCGGTTCTCTAAATATCCTTTGCTGACTGACGACCCAAACTCTGTCTGCACCTACAGAGACGGCTGCTTCATCTGGAGGCCTGAGGCCATGAGTGAGACACACACGTAAGAACCAGAAACTCTGTGACGCATGAACTCTCCCACATTTATTTAGTTCAGACACTGAACTAACCGCAGATGCTGGTCTGTTTTGGTCAGGTATAAGTTTGTCTTGAGACAGGATGCGATGCAGATGGAAGCAGCAGAGGCAGAGCATCCTCAACAGTTTTATGTCTGGGATAATGTTGCCGTCGCCCTGCATGTGGATAAACAGGTACCCTCACTACTCATTGTTCTTCTCACCCTTTACTGACAGGCTGGATTGTTCTGTCCATATTCTAGAGGTGAAGGGTAGGGAAGTCCTAAAAGGGGTTCTGGTTTCTGACTCAGTCAGATTTCAGAGCTCAGGTTGCTTTCGTCTTTAAGTGTTGCTGTGAGGTGGAAACTACAAATGATCCACCCTGACACACACGTGTGTTTGGTTTTATGTGTACATGATGTCTGTCGATAGATATTTAGTAAATTAAAATAAAATGGTACTCACACAAACACACACAAAAAAGAGAAATAAGTTGAAATTATGGAGTAAACGTTACTGCAGTACAGAAGTAGATACTCATTCATCTTAAAATATAGTCCTTAATTCTACTGTACTTACTATAACCGAACAATAACAGTAAGCTGAGTTAGCACCTAGCATGGATGCTAACAGTCCAGTCCTGCACGCCCCCCCTGGCCCCGCGGAGGGCCCGCCATGATTTATTGTCCAAGGTACCCCGCCGTTGCTCGGGGGCCCGTGGAGTATAAATGATCAGAGTTGTAAATGAAAGGGGCTCGCGGTTACGATCTGAAATGAATGTATGTCTATGGGAGTGTTATTTGATTTCCAAGTAATAGCGCCACCTAGAGGGTGATTGACGCGAAATTTCACACAGCCCCTTGGGAGGGCGTGGCAGACAAGGTCCCCGAGTTTGGTGTAGATCGGACATTTCAAACATAATATGTGACATGACATCCTGTGTTTAGCGTTTACGCAAAAATGTGTTAGGTTATAATACAGCCGTTTTTTGGTGAATCACAATTCCCTCTTCAAACTTTCTTCAGCTTTGTCCAGAGATGGTCCGTGCCAAGTTTCGTGGCGATTGGACTTGCGGCTTCGGAGGAGTTAATTAAAATAGGTTTTCCAGTTTTCGCGATTTAGCGAACTGAAAAGGTCATCGCACAGAGGCGTGTCCTATACCATCGGAATCGGCAGCATCCCCCAAAGACGTAGACATAAGGTTTATTAATGTGCGATGTAGTGAGCTGTAGTTATGAGGCAAAATGTCCTTTGGTTGAAATGAATGGGATTCTCTAACCGTATTTGAGCTTCCATTATAGCGCCACCTTTTGGCCGAATTGCACCAAAATTTCACGTGTGACCAGGGCCCCATGGGGAACAATTGCCCCAAATTTGGTATCAATCGGAGTTGTGGTTGTGGAGATCTAAAATGCATGTAAGTCAACGTGATTTTTTGAATAGCGCCAACTAGGGGCTAACTGTAGCAAATTTTGCACAGCCCCACAGGGGGGCATGCCACATAGGGTCCTCAAGTTGTGTGTTGATCGGCCTTTCCAAGCCTGAGATATGTTAGACTTCCTGTTTTTTGTTAGCTTGCAATTGGGACATTTTTTGCTGGATCAAAATTTCATCTACAAACTTTCATCAGCTTGGTCCAGAGATTATCTGTGCCAAGTTTGGTGTTGATCGGATTTGCGGCTTTGGAAGAGTTAATTAAAATAGGTTTTTCAGTTTTCGTGATGTAGCGAAAAAAAAGTTTATACCACGGGATTCAGCTCGATCCTCCGAACGCTTGGATAGAAGGTTTTTGATATCCGCCTTCGCAGGCGGGAGTTCCAAGCCCAAACACGTTGACGTTGCCTGTAGCGCCCCCTAGCGGTAGAAGTGTGCGAATTTTTGCGCCTGAGTTACTTGCTGGGGGCTTGTACCTACCCTAGGAGTTTCGCATCCCTAGCAGTTACTGTCTAGGCTGCAGTAGTGGAATTAGCGGCGGAAGAATAAAAAAAATAAAAACGAGAATGATTACAATATGGTTCCCAGCTCCGCTGGTACTTGAACCCCTAACAAGCAAAAACAAAAGAGACTATCAATAATACCTCAAGTTCACAAAAAACAAACAACAGAAGAAAACCACACCCACTCAGACTCCCCGTAACACAGCATTTGCCAGGCCAAGCTCCAAAGACCTAAGGTAGGGCCCCCAAACTCCAAGAAACTGATCCGACCTGGAGTGGAGAATACCCGTGAGATACTCCAAATGAAATATAACTCTATGCCAGCCCTGAATAGAGGGGCTGGCATCAGAGATACACTGCAAGAATATATATATTTTTGGCAGCGAATGCCAACACATTATACAGACACTTGTTAGATGCCGTAGTTAATATTCCTATTTGGAAGGCCTAATACCAAGGACACAATGGGTAAATTTCCAATCGGGTATCCAGAATCCTCCCGATTTCCCTCAGCACCTCCGACCAGTATCTCTGCAGTTTGACACATGGCCATGTAGCATGCCTAATTTAGTTATGCATTTTAATACATTTATGAGAATTAATACCCAATTATGAATTTTAATATTCATAAAATCTAAAATTATTCCTCGTTCCAGGACACCACCGGAGTTGTTATAATCCTAGATACTCCGGACCTCTAGGTAGCTTTTAATAATTATACAATTATTACTAGTGGTCAGTTAGTTAATAATTGCTCCGTTATCTTAAATCAATCAGTCTGTCTCATATGTAAAGGGTCAATTCTCTTGGCAGGGACGTAGAAATAGGCAACACACACAGCTCTTGATTATATTACAGTGAATTTATTCTCTAACTAAGGTGATATAAAAGGGTAAATAAACAATGGTGGCACAATGAGCCAGGAGGTTCGATTGTGGGAAGCATTTGACTCATACGGCAGAGGAGAACTAATGAAAGTAAGCTAACGTTTTGAGTTTAGGAGTTAAAAGGAAATCTCTGACCACAGAATGTTGTTTGGTCTTACTGCTTGTCGACAGCCTGCTTTTGGCCTGTTGCTGGTCCCACTCTAGCTGCCCGATCCTGGCTTTTTGCTAGGGATTCTCCGGGGTTCTCCGTGTCTGATTGAAAACGCCGTCCTCCGTCTGGCAATTCGGCTGTTTTCAGGTTTCCTTCGTTGTAGCTGGCGAGACCACGTGGCTTGGTCTGACCTCGGTGAAGTTGGCTTGACGAAAAAGCTTTAAAATGGAACTTGGTCATTCCTGAATTAGTCCAGTGTAACTTAACAGACTGATAACTTTAACACAACAAAAGAAAGAAAGAAAATAAAACAAACTGAGGGGCAGATCAATGTCGCGGCACTTCAGGTGTGTAGCTTCAGGCGAACAAAAGGCCTGTCTCGCTGGCCGAGTCTGGGCGGTGCCTGGCGAGGCACGCCGGACGCGTGCCGAATCGTCCAGAGAGCCGAGAGAGAGGAGCAGAGAAGAGAAGAGAGCACGAAGGACGTCGCGTGTCGCTCTTTTGTTGCCTGGGGCGTGGTTCCCCAGGGGGCGTCTCAGGTTTCCCCAGGGACTGCCTTTCAAAACTTAATGTCTAAAAGAAAAGAAATCTATTTGCACATATTATAATCAAATATTTTCCACAATCGAACCTCAATGGTCGAACGGTTGTACTGTTCTAGGCATTTGGTAACAGGAAACAATTGTCACATTATTGGTCAGGATATTTATACATTTAACGGCATTTCCGACGAGGGCATGTAATACTTATTTCGTCCACTTGGGGGGAGCTCAGGTTACATGAGGAAAGCTTAGATTAATCCAAGATCATCTCTCTTTAGGAACTGGGAAATATTGTTGATTCATCCTTAAATTCAAGCTGGCGGTTAAGAGTATAGTAAAACATTTCTTTATCATCATTTATAAAGGAATTTTGTAGGAAAGTATTATGAACAAGCATTGATTACATTAGATGAAAGAGTGTCTTGCTGAAAATAAAAACACTGCAAAAGTAACTTATTTAGATTCTTTTCAGCACTAATATCAACCATAGATAGCAACAACATGTTAACATAACTACTCAAATAGAGGCAAACGTAATCAAGTAACTAAAAGATTTAATTAAACTTAATTAAATGCCTTGTCTTTGGAGACTCCAGTCTTTGGTTATTTAAAGTTCGGCTTCCTGGGTTATGTCACAACTTGGGGGAGACAGGGGTATCCCTTTGATGGGGTAATGAAACACAGAGCTCAGTTATCAGGCTCTTGAACCCAGTGTGGAGTCTCCCTCAGGCCATCAAATAATGATGTAATATTATAGGTTAAGATAAGGCTTTATACACCCTGAGATGCTAAAAGGGTTCGGACAACAAAGTCTGTCTTGGCTGACACACATCTTCAATGTTCCGTTGAGATCAGGGACACTACCTCTGGAGTGGCAGACCGGGGTGGTGGTTCCCATTTTAAGAAAGGGAAACCAGAGGATGTACTGCAGGAGTATGGGATACCAGGGCTGAACCTGCATAGTTATAGCTTAATCCTGCACCTGCTGAGCTGCAGCCCCCCTCTAACATTGCTGAACAAAAACCGCCTCCACACACTCCTGAACCGCTACAGCCTCTTGTGCCTGCTAAAGTACAGCAGCCTTGAGTTCCTGAGTTTCAGCTGCTTCTAGTTTCCCTGGCTTCACTGGCTTCCAGTCCAATAGTTCTGTTGCCGGTCTCTGGTGCTGCACCCCAGCCTTTGAGCTCGGGCTCTGGTCTCCAGTCTTGTCGCTGGCCTCCTGCAGGCCTCCAGAGGGGTCACACCTTTGCCGCCGGCTGCCTAAGGGGTTTCACCTTCGCTGTCGGCCACCAGAGGTTTGTTGCCCTTTCCGTCGGCCTCAAGACAGTTTTCACCTTTATATATTTATTTTTCATTGTAGTGTTTTTAGCCCTGGTTTTGGTCTCCTGGATCCCTCCTCTGGTCCGGAGGGGACTGGGGGCCATGTATGCAAAGCAGCGTGGCCCCCAGTGCCTTTTTATTATTCCGTTGATAAAAGTCATACTGCAGCCTAGACCGTAACATAAGTGAAATTCACAGGGCTGGTACACACTGCTGCAGACACCTCAGACGCAAAACATGACAAATGTCAACCTATAAAAACAAGCTAAATGCATTTTGGCCCGTTAATACCACATAGCACGTTACACGTTGAAAAACCTTATACCGATAGATTTATTTACATTAATTCACTTAGCTGATGCTTTTATCCAAAGCGACTTTCAATTGCTTTATATGTCAGAGGTCGCACGCCTCTGGAGCAACGAGGGGTTAAGTGTCTTGCTCAGGGACACAATGGTGGACGTCTCACAGTGGGGGATTGAAAATGGGTCACTCACACCAAAGGCAGGTATCTTATCTACTGCGCCATCACCACCCCTTTTTATTAGTCCTTTCGGAAATTCAAAGTGTGCCATACAGCAATCGTCAGACCAACAAACCAACAGATAACAACAGAAAACATCACCACAGTGCTTTTGATAATCCAAAAAATGCTTAAGTTAGAAAGGAACACCTTCCTTTAGTTAACGGTCACACAAGAAACTGATATATCACCGCATAGGTCATCTCCAATTAACATGAATCTTAGGCTAGTAAGTTCCCATCCCCCTGCCAGGTTTTATGCAAAATGTGACACCAATCGACCACTAATTTGCCTTAGAAATTGAGTGCTCTCATATCTCCACATCACAGGATGTGTTTTAACTTGAACCAGTGTCAAATGCTTTGCAGTCCATGGGCCAGATTCACTAAAGGTCTGCGTGAGTAAAAACGCGTGCAAACGTGATATCACCAGCAAATGAACACGTAAGCTGATCTGCTAATGGCGTGCACGCAGAGTGAGGTCACAAACACATTTATTTACTACACGCAGTGTGAGCTAACGAGCCTAAACGCAATTTCACATAAGTGCAACAGCGTCTGTATTTAATACGTTTGACTGGAAGGTGCAAACCGCCAAGTGTTACAGAGACGGCTGCTGTTATCGTTGGAGAAGGAGACACAGCCGTGATGACAGAAGACGTAGAGAAATAAACAACATTAGATAATAATATTCTATATCCAACATATAGAAATAAAATTATTTTATTTATACAATGAATTTCATGAATTGAATTGTAGTTTCCTTCAGCTTTGACAACACTGTTAACATTTACATTGCCAATAAAGCTAAATTTTGTTTCGACCTGATTTCTTTTCTCCGTGAGATGGAAGAATTTTGAAAGTTGCGTAGCGCTGCGGAGAGTCCCCAGCTGCAGTAGTGCTTGCGTGATGTGTAAAATCCATCCAGCCAGAGGGAACAATCCCAAACTGTTCACAGCAGTGCCCTGCCCTGTGTGTGTACTCCTTGTGATCGGCAAGGACATGTGATCGGTTAATACACATCTTGTTTTGATTTGATTAGCTAAAAAATCAAACATAATCAAACCTGCGCAGTCTACTCTTCTCATATTCAAACCCTAAATATTTCAGTAAGCTATAAATATTTTACTGATCTGTTGGCAATTAAAATGATCTTTTTAATTGCCTGCAGTTAAACAATAGCCCATAGTAAAGCAGGGGGTGCTGCAGCACAGCACTTCCTGCGCCATTGGTGGCAGGTGACAATTCAAAATATATAATGATAATAGAATATAATGTAGTGAGGCTCTCAGACATTCTTATTGCTTTTAAATATTTTTCTCCTGTAGATCACAGTAACCTATTTAAATGTGTTTGTGGCCCCTTTTCATCTCAGTGAGAAATTAATCCGTTTTAATTCAGTTATTGACTGGACTTTATTAGCTCATCTGTTTATAACTCAGTGTTTCCACAGAATGACAGTGTAACTGTGGCGCAGATACAGCATGCTAGTCTCGAAAACAAGCTGTATTCTAACATTAACTTAGCGCTCCTTATTAGCTTGGCTCCTTACATGTGTGGTGTCCAAACAATAATGCTGCCATGATGTGTTGAGAAGAAATCTGCTTGACACTGTTCTTGATCATAAAAGTTTATTAAATCAAGGAGTTCAGCATCAATTAGAAGCTCTGCAGCAGCTTGGAGAGAGACCCAGCCCGACGGCCACTCTGTCTCTCTGTACATCAAAAACAGCTTATATATCATATGTGTAGGTATCTGTTAGATACCATAGAAGGGTTTGAGTCTGCAAAATAAAGCTCCAACCCATAGAAGGGTACAGTGCTATTCTGAGGTAACAAAACAAGGGGTCAGAGGTCAAATTCTATAGAAGGGTTCAGTCCCTACATAACCACCAATCACTGCTCTCCCCTTAGGAGGTCACTGACCCTCTGTCCTGCTGCTACAGTGCTATTTTAAACTGTTATGAGTCAAATGCACAAATATTGGACACCACACATGCTTGCTAATAACTTTTAATAGCTGGGTCTCCGACATTGACGGCGTTGTGTTGGACAGATTTGTGCAGCTGTGTTAACGAGGGAGAGAGAGCGAGGGACGGATTAGAGACGAGCAAAGAGGATGTGCTGCGTGAATACGCGCTGCCTGCAGCTCAAATACGATTTTAAATAGGCTTAATAAGAAAAATCGAACATCAATCTGTGGCGGTCAGCGTGGATATTGTGGCAGGACGCCACAAATAAATGAACGTACGGGAAACACTGTAACTTCTCATGTTCAAACCTTTCTGCACATTCAGAACGTCTTTAGCCTATTTAAAGAGAATTCAGAATATTTTACAACATGCCCTGTACTGCATTATGATACTGATTCGCAGGAAGTATCCCCTCGCCAGTCTCGTCCAGTCAGTGGACTAAACTGGCAGGTTTTAATGTTGCAGACCACAGTTTTTTGCAAGTAGTTTAAAGTTTAAACTCGTATTGTTGTGAATCTTTGGTGTAAACTTGACTTAGAATTTCCAACCAACAAACGCCCCACAAACCCAGCTCAGCGCCCCCCCCTCCAAAATATTGCTTCCAGCGCCCCCCATCGTCCTCGGAACGCCCCCGTTGAGAAACACTACTTTAGATAAATAAAAACAGTTCCACCATAACCTCCTGCAGAAAAATTCACCAGAATGCAGAAAAAGTTCCAATTCCAAATGTTTCATCTAAGGAGGCGATTCTACCAGCTCTAAATTCATTATCAAGGACTCGATCATCTTGTTGATAGTGCTGCAGGCTCGCTGCGAATGACACTCGACTCTGTAGCCCCTCTAAAAAAGAAAATACTAAAACAAAGACAGTTAGCTCCATGGTATAATACTGAAACTCGCAAATTAAAGCAAATATCGCAGAAACTTGAGAGGAATTGGCGTTCCACCAAAGTGGAAAATTCTCGTGTAATTTGGCAAGATAGTCTTAAAACTTATAGGAAGGCCCTCCGTAATGCCAGAGCAGCCTACTACTCGTCATTAATAGAGGAAAATAGGAACATGACTCACGCTCTGGTGGATTTAAGATGTGAGACTATCTGGCACTGACATCATTAGGTTGTCATTGGTCCTTGTTATAAAGTGAATTGACCTTGTTTATTTCACTGAATGTGACGTACTTTATTTTATTGTATTGCTCAGCGGGCTCTCCACTGTTAAACTGAAATAAACTGAAATCTTCTTCTGTTTTTTTACCTTTTCAGGTGCTGAACTTTGATGCTGATGGACTGAGAGAGAACCTCACGTTCTGTAGTTTAGGAAGAGCTCCGATCAATCGCGACCCTTTTGATGACTTCACACAAGCTGAAGAGTTTGTTAAAGGATTGTGGCCTGACTGTTCCTCACCACTGCAGAAAGCTTCAAAGCTAAATTAAGGGACTCTGTAGTTGTTTTGTCGTTCTATATTTGGGGGATGTTTCTTGTCCAATGATGATTTTCTAACTATTTTCTTCAAAAATATCAGGGTATTTTATTTTAAAATTCTATATTTTTAAAATTAATTTAAAAAGTTCACATTTAAATTTAATATATTTCTCAGTTTATTAATGTCGCTGTCACCTGTGTAAGAAAACACGTGACCAGCATCTCAGCGGCGACCATTTTGAATCCATTCTGGCGTCCTCTTATTTAAAAGAAAATTTAAGTTGAGTATAGTAACGGACTGTCCACTCTGTTGGGTGCATTGTTGTGGTTTCCAATTCTTTTATTATTTTAATTCAAATATATGTATACAGTGTTTGTTCCTGAGGTCATGGTTAGTGATGAAATGTTGAGTGAACTGAAAGCTCTTGTTTGAACCCTTCACCTGCTGCTCAGTGTTTTATTCACACTACGAAAGCTTGTTCTTCTACAGTGTCTTTGTGTTAAGGAAATGTAAAACGTAGTGTTCTGTATTCCTTTAATGAATCATTCTGCACCTATGAACCGAAGGTTTCGGGTTGAATAAACACTGTGCTGATGGCTAACGATGATGTTCCACCAGATTATTTTAAACATTTACTTTAATTCTCTTTATATTCTACATGTCAGAGAACACAGATTCTGAATGTGCAGAAAAGCTGCTGAAACACAGGAGCTGTTAAAGTCCAGGAGTTTATCACTGAATTAAAATGAATTCACTTCTCATCGAGGTGAAAAGGAGCCGCAGTCAAATTTAAAGAGGTTACTGCCCCGAACAAAGACGCAAAGAGGAGGGAAGACTGAATCAAGACTCAGCAGATATTAAAGAAGTTGATCTACAGGAGAAACTGATCTGAGAGCAGCACACAAGGGCCCCACTTTGTGTTGAAAAGTAGCGGGGACATTTAAGGGCTCAGATTAGGGGTGTGACGAAAAACACTTAGTCCATGATGTGATAATTCATAAGACATAAAGATACTACAGTGCTATTTAGAAGAAATATTCATTGATGAAATCGGCTATTTGAATGGCTATTATTTCCATATATATTCAACATTGAAGATTGTCTTGTGTTAAAAGCTTGCCTTGTCTCATCTCGTCACACCCCTTCTAAAGACTAAACGTGTAATCAGCAGGTTGATCCAGAATGAAAAGAACAATCAGCTGCAGTCTGAAACTAAAGAGTTCAGAATGAGCTGCAGCAGCAACATCCTGCTTTACTTTAATGAGGAGGAGGAATCTGAGGAGGGGACTTTTATTGCAGTAAAGGATCTGAGTACTTCCTCCAGCGCTGCAGCTGAACAGGCGAACACCAGCAACTGATTTCTGACTCTGCAGAAAATCACGTTACTTTGGTTTGTTATTGATCGTTTGTCCTGAAACCATTTGCAAGGCGTCATTATGCATCATGGGTACTTTTAAATGTGATACTTTAAGCAGCTTTTGCTGAGTCCAGCTGAGGCTGATGGGACTGTCAGCAGTTCTGCAGGTGTTTGGTCAGAAAGCAAAGTGTTGGACACATGAACTCGCCATCATTTCTCCTGATCACACAGTTGATATCTCTTGATTTCAGACGCCAGCTTCAGTCTCTTAATATTCGTCCTCTGGATCAATACTGTCTCAAGTTCTGATGCGTGAATAATGTGAGGGTGGAGAACACATGGTGTTTCCACAAATTCATCCACATCGCCTCCTCCACCAGCAGGTCGATAGTCGATTAATTGTTTGTGCAGTTCTGATTCCTGCTCCTTAAATGTGAATACTTTCAGGGTTCTTTCCTCCTTTATGAATATCTTATTAGCAAACATCTCGCTCACGAAGACACGTTTTAAGCTTTCCTCTTGATATTTGTCTAAATCTTTTGAAATTTATTTTAAGCTTCTTCTTCCTGACCACCAGGACTCGCTGTGGCGCCCGTGTGGGAATGTTTGGTAAAATTTCTCCCTGTAATCTGAACTTGTTTTGGTAAAAAGTAAAAGAGGCCTCTCAGTTTGTCAGTTTGGGGAGAAACAGACAAAGTGAATGAAATATTTGATGAGAATAATGAGTCCTTTGAGTGTTGGCGACGTCTCCGCACAGCCAGCGTCAGAGCGTGTGTGTTACAGAAGTCCTTTTGTCCTCATTATGTCCTTCCATCAGTGCGTTCATCCTCATCTGTTCACACTTTTAAAATGGTTTAATTAGTCATTTTCTTCACTCTCACCAGGAGAAAGAAACGTGGTTTTGTTGGAGCCACATAAATAAAAAACCCTATAACTCAGTTACTTTGCTGATGGTTAATGAGCTTGTCAAAAAACAACAAATAAATGAAATAAAATGAAGTGAGATGAGCGCTTATCAGAGAATTAGTGTGTGTAGAGAAATAAAATTTGTTTCAGTTTGATCAAATTACAACTCTTTTGTATTTTACTACATGTATCATAAAAACTGCCCGGCCCTGCTCACTCTTCTGTGGATTTTTTTTTATTGAATAAAACATTCAGAAGCATGTTTTGTTCTATTTGTTGAAATGAATCCAGTGAAACAAACATCCGGTACCCGGGGCTGCAGGACTGTGACTCTGCACTCTGCACAGGAACATGTGAAGGGCCAGATTGTCTCTTGCTGGTCTCATATCTGTTTGTCACCGCCGGCTGTGAACCACATAAACCTGAAGTTAAATGACTTAATAAGTTGATTTTGTGCTCTGAACAAAGCTTTGAGTTTTATAAATGTGTTTGAATTCAAAATCCTAAAATGCAAAATAACTCCAGCTGCCAAAATGTGGTGCAGTGAAACGCACAATAACCCCCCCTGAGATGGCGAGGAGTTAGAATCAGCAGGAAAAAGGGAAACGTACGTAGTTTCTACTGCTGCAGAATCAATGAGGACTTCATGGAGACGCCCCCCCCAGCTCCGTCACAGAGCCACACTGTTGGTTGTCCTCTAACTGGACAATGAACACACACACACACGCAGCCTCACAGGATGGACGCCGTCTCGCCTCGCTGCCGTCCAACGCCTCAGATCTTCATCGTCGTCCTCTTCATCCTGTCAGGTGAGACACACCCTGCTGACATCACGACACAAACTGCTGACATCACAGCGCTCCGAGCTCTCTGGATGTTTCCACTCTGACACGAAGGACTCTGGTGATCCAGGGTTACTTGTAAACAATGTGTGTAAAGCTGGATCTGTTGACAGGAAGTAGAATCGTGCGTGTGTTCAGGTCTGACCAGCATTCCCAGTAACCTGCAGGGGTGTTGATACGCTGATGCTGCCGGCTGGCCAATCAGAGCTCCCGCCGCTGTCTCACAAAGTAAAAGTACTCAACATGCAGAAGAATATAATGTTGTATCAGAGTGTAAACACCATCTTGTATTGGGGAGATTCATCTGTAAACATCTGTCATATTTTATAAATTCATCATCATGAAAATTAATCTTAATTTGTAAAGTAACTGATGCAGGAGTCTGAAACTCAAAGCGTCCAGGGGCCACTTTTCATCTCACAGGAGGGCCGCAACAGCATTAAAGTACTCTAAGAAAGTCCAATATTCTCAAAATGTACTTTTTTTATTACCATTACCATTTTGAATAATTTCATGTGTTTTTGTGAAATTTTTTTTTACTGAAATTCTGCCTTCTAATCTATCTGGAACTCAAAAGTACTTCACATTGTTCCACTGACGTGCACATTCAGCCCCAAATTAACCCAAACTTTCCAAACTGAGCATCATAAACATCTGTTTTAACATTTCCCCCTTTGCTTATCTTAAATAACTTACTGCACTGAACTAACACATGCAATCCCTGAATACTCTGCAGGCTCGTATGCCGACTTCATTTTATTTTTACTTTATTATCTTCTCGCACAACTGAGACACGTTCGCCCAGTTAGTCCAATCAGGTCTGCTTTTCCCTGTAGCTCCCTGAACGTGGTTTTTATTTCACTGTTACGCCGCAAGTCAGTAAGTTCCCTCTACGACAGACTTGACATGTTTATATTTTACACACTTGCTGCAGGCGGCGCACAGTCGCCTCACAGCAAGAAGGTTGCGGGTTCAAACCCCGGTTGCCCCGGCCTTCCTGTGTGGAGTTTGCATGTTCTCCCCGTGTCTGCGTGGGTTCTCTCCGGTTGCTCCGGCTTCCTCCCACCGTCCAAAGACATGAAGTCTATGTTAATTGGTGTCCCTACTTCTGTCTGACATAGATGGGGCTGCGTCAGTTGTGATGTCTACCAGTCGGCGCCACGGTACACCAGAACATTCAAACGGGTCACACGGCTGCTGAAACATATCTTTGGATGTGGTGCGGACGACACAAACTCAGCAACTCTTTTCCACCGCGTTTACCGATGCAGCGCTGTACTGTTTAACGAGACTTTTTTTCTGGGCATAAAATGTCCTCCAGAAGCTGGCCTTCAGTCACTCACCACATAACTTAATATGTATATAACGGGCCGGGAGTTTGAGACCCCTGAACTAACAGACCGATGTAGCGGAGTACAAGTAGAAAGTAGTACTCAAGTAAAGTACAACAGCTGCAGTCTATCTACTACAAACACATTTTAAAGCAGTGGAGGTGATTCAGATGGTGAACCGGGTTTTTACACCTGGAGTGAATATTTCTCTGTCTCTTTGCTGCAGGTGGACACTTCTCATCTGTCTCCTCCTTTAAAGTCCCAGAGGGGGGCGTGGCCTCTCTGTCCTGTCACTACTCTGTGAAGCGGTTCGGTCTGAGTCGGGTCTGCTGGGGCCGCGGCTGCGGGACCTTCTGGTGCAACAACGTCCTGGTGCAGACGGACGAGAACGGCGTCGTCTCCAAGGTCACGTGATTAAATGTCAACTTCAGAACAGACTGCGGATCAGTCCGTAGGAGGAGTTCTCCTGGTCCGTCTGCGTTCTGGGGTTTAACTAATCCAGACTCAAACAAGCCTTTTGAGGGTTGATCCAGAGCAGCAGTGTGCTCTTATTTTTAAATAAAGGGTTGAAACCGTGGTCAGCTCACATATGATTGGCCAATTGACTGAGCCGTGTGTTGGCAGTCCTCCCAGAAGCCTTTAAACCTGCATCCTCTCTATCAGCCAGCAGGGGGCGACTCCAGCGACTGCAGAAAGAAGTGTGATTGTATAGAAGTCTCTGAGAAAATGTTTCTACTTGTCAGCTGATTTATTCCCTCAGTAAACACTTTCCTGATGAGTTTCTGGTCTCAGTCTCTAGTTTCAAGTCTTCTTCAACACAGCATGATGTTCATTTAGTAAATTATGGTCCCATTTAGAGGAACAGAGACCAGGAAGCAGGGGAGGCTTTAGGGCGGGGCTACAAGGTGAATTTCTTTCTGAAATCAAAAATCCATTTCCCAAAATATTAGAATAAAGAATGTATAATAAATATGAAAATCAAACTTTATTAAAATCTCTTTACCAGCAGCTTTAACTGAAATGCAATTTTCAGCATTGGGAGTTCTGCAGATATTATTTTAATTTAATGTTTTAGTGCACACACGTGTGAAGAAGGAGACCCCAGACTTTTTCAGAGAGGGCTGTTAATGTGTGCTGTCGCTGTTCAATAAAATTAGGGTC